TGTGCAATATATTCTTTTAAGGTGCTATAGATCTTGCCTCATGGTTCTTGCCACTGTGTGTCATTGCAGAGTCCTTCAGCTGCATCCGTGCTGCATGAGTCCTGCAGGAAATGTTCTTCTTAGAGCTTAAATATCAGTGTAGAGGCACTGCACCATAATGGATGACTGTACATAGCTATATCTATGTTTAAATATATCCTTTAAAGCCAGCTGTTTTCATTTCTAGTACAAATCAAAGGTAATTAAAGCTTATGTTAGCAAATTTTGGTCTATTTTGTTAATTGATGGCCTGTTTGTATCTTTGCTTTTGTAGATAACAAGTACACTATCCATAGGAATTATGTCCATATTAGATGGTTTAACACAACACAATTTACATTAACATCCAAAGCAAGGAAGTAGTATGTCCTTTGTCTAGCAAGGTAAAAAGTAAGGGGTATACAGTATGGAGCTGGTGGATGCACATGTAGCATGCCTGATTTAAATGCAGGAGACCTCAGTTTTCAAACTTGTTACAAACCTGCAATTAACAGCTTTATTTACTTTATCTAACCTTCACTATTCTGTAGTTTCCATGCAGAAATCGGGAATTACCAAAAAACAATGGAAAATAGAAAATATTGAACAGAACTGAGAGTTTAAAAAAATTGTCTACTGATGTTATTGTCTTGTGGCAGGGTTGTTGTAACTAGTCAAATGGAGCGATGGCACAATTTGCACTTCTATGTCCTTCAGCAACCTTGAAGTTTGATGAAAGTACATTATATTTCAGGTATCTAAACCGTCAATGCTGAACTCTATCTTTTGGTGTCTTCTCCTTAACATATCCTTCAAAGAACAAAAATATTCATGTGCTACTCTATGTATTGAGTGATCATGTTTTTTTTTTTTTTTATCTTTATTTAACAATTTACAGATTAATATGACAAAATGACTATGGCACTTTGGGTTAAATTTGGGATTAGTTTTCTTGTTTGTCTATTTTTCAGTTCAGGTTAGGTTACAATTAACACATAGATTTTGTACTGGACCGTGAAAAGGCGACTTAGGTTAAGTCCACATGGTCCCTACTTTTTGTGCACTAGAGTTCAGTACATGCATACTTGATGTGTAAGTTTAAACTGAAGTTACAACAGTGGATTTATTTAACATCCTAAACTTTAAATATATGATTGGTCTGCAATAGAGTGACATTATTGTTTTGTTCTATAATCAGCCAATCAGTTTTATCACAGGATGCTGCTTAAAATGGCAAAAACAAACACAACATACAAGCAAAACTGGGCACAAACAGTGGACCCTGTGTGTGTGTGTGTGTGTTTGGTTAGTGTTGGCAGGTGGGATGAATTCCTTTGATGCCCACACATGTACCGATGCATGTGCAAACAGACACACATGCGCAAACACACACACACACACATTCATGCGCAAACACACACACACACACAGAGTGAGTCACAGGGCAACACAGCCTACTGTATCAGTCTGTGGGTCGCCAGGGGCTGATGGGGCCACTCAACCATGAAAGAGGGTATGGAGGCTTAACAGGCGCACAGACAAACACACAGACACACAGATACACACACACATACACACACAATATCACATGCATAAGCACTGGGAGACACATGCACACAAGGAAATATGTGACATCCTGTTCTCTCTCACTGTTTCTCGTGTGTTTTTGTGATTGTATCTTCATGGTCTTAATAAAGTTAAAGCACAAGTAGTTTCACTGATTTAATTCAGTGGGAAAACGTCAAGTTACTGCATCTTTCCCAACAACATCCACTGCTGGTAACTGAAGCACGGCAATCATTTTTATGGTTATGTTAAGGTACCTCAGAGCACTGGGGCAGGGTCAGGAAAAGATAATGGTACTGAGTTTATCTTAAAATAGTCCAGGTGAGGTCCAGGAGTTAAAGAAAGGCACTGGATGTGTTTTCAGTTTTCCAATAATTAGCTGATACCACCATATTTCATCACTGATGAAGTGTTTTAGTAGCTTAAACCTAACATCACCACGGATGCAGGACCTGAATCCTGGTCTCCACGGTGCTTTGTACTAGGGTTGTGCCGATGGACGATGGTATCGGTGATTGGTCATTAGAACTATTGCCGAATGCTCATGCCTTTGCAAATGCCAAGACGATCTTTGACTTGTTTTCTCACTAATGTAGTAATTTTTTATTTGTAGTAATAAATTAATACTAAATTTAATTTGCCTGCCACAGTTTAACATATATAACTGCATATAACTATAATAAATATGCTTGCGTCACGTGTCCACACGATTTGGTTTTTCTCTCTCATTCATAGGGTAACGTAACGTGTAGTGCTGCGGGAGCCACCGGAACGAAACTCCACTACTTTTTTTCTCCATGTGATGAAATAAAATATCTCCAGTTCACATAATCTGGTTGATATTTATATGAATTGAAGGTCCGATCATCACTATGTCGGTGTATATCATGAAGAGAGCTAATAAAAACAAATTAAATGGTCAAAGTTGTCCTATTGACATTTATGGTGTATTGACTGATTT